GACACACATTCAGACGCCGCACAATCGTAGTGTTTCTCGACCTTAAGGCAGCATTTGACTCTGTTGATCGTGTGGTTCTATGGCGGTGTTTGTCGCTGGAAGGAGTACCAAAGAAGTACAGTAACCTAATATAGGCTCTCCACTCGAACACAACTGGCCGAGTGAGAGCTTATGGCGAACTGTCATCAGAACTGATTACCTCAAGTGGTGTTCGTCAGGGTTGTCCACTCTCTCCATTCTTGTTTAACTTTGTCGTTGACGTGCTTTTAGAGATGACACTTTCCTCATCTGAATTTCCAGGGGTTGAACTTTTACTGGGAGATTCACTTTTTGACTTAGAATATGCCGATGACATAGTTCTATTTAGTGAAGACGCTGACAAAATGCAGAGTCTTCTAACTACTCTAAGCATGTTCGGGATGCGATTCTCTCCCTCGAAATGCAAAATGTTGCTTCAGGATTTAGTTGCGTCGACATCAGAACTAGTGATAGGGAGTGAAGTAGTTGAGCGTGTCGACCGCTTCGCTTATATAGGAAGTCTCATCAATCCTTGTGGTCTGGTGTGTGACGAAATCTCAACACGGATACAGAAGGCTCGACTAGCTTTTGCCAACTTGCGTCATTTGTGGCGTAGGCGAGATATCCGTCTATCAACCAAAGAATGTGTTTTACTGCGCAGCAGTTCTTTCCATCCTACCTTATGGCAGTGAAACATGGCCAGTAAGAGTAGAGGATATTCTCAGGTTATTAGTATTCGACCATAGATGTCTCCGAAACATTGCTCGTATATCCTTGGATCACCGAGTAAGTAATGCAGTTGTTAGAAAACGGGCACTAGGTAAGGATGGCAAATCAATTGATGAAGTAGTGAAACTTAATCAGTTGAGATGGCTGGGACATGTGCTGCGCATGCCCGACCACCGACTGCTTCGACGTGCTATGTTTTATGGTGTAGGAGTATGTTGGAAGAAAGCTAGGGGTGGCCAAACCAAAATGTGGTACAAATCCATGAAGTCACTGACAAGTGGACTGAGCCATGTTGGTAGGTGCAGACTACTTGGTTGGGGGCCGCGAAATTATAGCAACCGATGGTTAGAGACCTTCAACGACATGGCTCAAAATCGTTTGAATGGCGCAGGTGCATCCACTCTTCGTGCTCTCCCAAATTCTAACCTTCTGAATTCATGTGCTTTTTTCAAATTTATTTCACTGGATTATACTCCTTGAATAACATCTTCAAACCCTAATGTTTCCGATAACTGCTTATACCCTTACTACCTCTACCACTATGGGATTTGAGTCGACAACTGCATCTCTGTGCTAATGTGGTATGGCAACTCGAATTGATGTACGTACGTACGGAGTTCCACGTTGTTACTGACTGACTGATGCATATCTAAAAGAAATAGTCATCCTTTGACCACTCACTACACTGCTTCAACAAATATCCTCTCCAACGATATGAGTAACAGTATTCAATTTTCTGAATTGTAGTGGAAGACCTGGTTCTAGTTTTCAATCGTTGTAAAAATAAGACCACAAGTAAGTGAGGAGCTTCAAATGAGAGCAAAATAGTTAACCAATGCTTTCTGATTCCAGTGGTTCTTCAACTGATATCAATTTATGATCTATCCGAACACATATCCTAGTATTTTAGCGTTAAACCATTTAACTTAATACGGTAGTTGTAATTAACTTTTTTGTAAACCTTACATTATCTTAGTAATAAAAAAACTACTAACCATAACATATCAAGTGTTGTTTAAGAGAAACATGATCAATCCTAGTTAATATTCCTTGTACTTATCCCCTCATAGGCATATATTTATTACTACTTGACTTGATTCGACACAATGATAACCATTTCATAACTACGCATAATGAACAATTTATTTAACCTGTAATAATCATAATAACTAATAATAATAATACTATTATTATTATTATTGTTATTATTATTCAGTGGAAATTTACATCTCTCATATAAATTTGCATACATATACACATATAAAAACACACAAATACCTACGAAAGTGCAAACATGTAAAGAAATTTCCAAGTATTTTGTTACCTACCTACTTATTATAATCATTACCAATAAAATTTATGTATTCCACAAAAATTACACTGAACAGAATAGAATGTTTACAAAATAATATACCGCCATCTTGCAAACCTTTATCTAATAGTTCTTACAAATTGATTTCGAAAAGAATCTCTTTTTCGTTTTGTTGAATGAAGATTATTTGTATTTGAAACATTTTATCACGTTAATTACAAAAATATATTTGTCATTATCGAGAAGAAAAAAAACTTTATTCTGATATTTAACTAATTATGGTTATGAAATTGCAAAATATGTTGAAGAATTTATCCGATAATAAAAATGTTTCTCTCTTCCTCTCGATTATGTTTATGTTATGATGTATACGTGACTACCCTGATAAGCAAGGATTTGGATAAAATAAGGAATGTCTTAAGATGACCTAGTGAATGATGGGAGAAAATACTTGGTATATCATATTTCAGTCACCTTTAAAGTGTGAGTAATTTAGTACAATTTACTTGACACGTACTATTTTGTGTGTGTTCGGCTTTTGAGATATGCTTTAATCATGTAATGAGCTACTGATACTCAAGTATCTGCAGTGAAGTAGAGCAGGATTCGAACTTACGAACTGATAACTGGTAGTTAAGTGCCTTAATCACCAAACCTCTACTTTACGTAAAAGACAATTTGATAAAAAGTTTGTCGATCATCTATCTGCGTATTTATGTTAATTATGGTGAAATGAATAGAGTACGAAAAATAATATTTGCCAACTTGGAATTATTGCTTTTGTAAAGGATTAAACTGATCACCCCTTCTATCCACAATATGAATCTATATAATGCAGTTGAGGAACATGTTTTCTTACGGAATATTTTGGGTTAAACAATCGAATCAATCATGTGTTAAGTCTAAATACCCTCATCAAATAATAAGTATTCAATCTTTTAGAGATGTAAATATTACACAGGATAAACTATTAGATAAAATGATAAGCTTCAAAAATAAGATAATTCTAAGATATGTCAAGTACGCGTAACAAAACATTAAATTGATTGAAATACATTGGTATGAAACAGTGGGTTAGTGTTGAAAGCATTCAGGTTTCAACTAATAGGTAACTGGTTTAAATTTCATTTTGCTTACTATAATTTAAACAATAAAATAGCAGTATCACTGATCCTTACATAAAAAATACTGTTCGAAATTCAGAGAGTAAACTTGTACATCGTATACGAGACCATTTCTTGTGTGGACAAGTGGATAAGATCAATTAACTCTATAAAACCAAAATAATCAATTCAATCCAACGAAACATTTGATTTTCAGTTATTTAATTACGCTGTTTTTTTATTTTCAAAAAAGATTCCAAAATAATTGGTTAACCTTAGCAATTATCATAATACTAATCTCATATCGAAATTAATTTCTACAAAGTTACCTTAAATTTAATTATGAAATATTTCAGAGATTATAGTTATTTATCTGAATTTTAAAATACATATAACTATGATTTCGGGCTTTAATAAAGTTTAATCTGTCTCTATCCGAAAATAAAACAAGGCACTGATTTATTTTAATCCATGACAGGTCAAACTGATTTATTTGAAAATTATTTCCTGTCAAAATGATAAGACTTAAATATATGAAAATATGAAACGTTAGAAAAAAAGTAAATTATGTATGGTTGAGTTACAAGCAGACATTAAATTACAAATTAGTACGAAATATCAATGGGTATACGAAACGATAACAGAATTGAGATAAGGGAGGTAATCGTACAGTTGTATTGTGCTTCAAAGAGATGTAGTTATTTAAAAATAATGTTAGATTTCTATCAATAAGGTGATACTTTACAACTTGGAATACATAAGCAACGTATGATTACAACAATAAAGTGTACTTATTAAAAGACTAAAACCGATGTTATAGGATTATGAAGTTGAATGGAACAAAGTAATACTAATCAGTTTAATGTGTATTAAGTTAGTACAATTCCACTTACTTGTAAACGCTATTCACAATTTTGGCATCAAAGTATATCATGTGGTACAGCATAAAATATAAACAGTCACATTTTACACGTAATTTATTTTAATTCCAACGTTCGTTCAAATCAAGTTGCATGATGTTCTATTATTGACGCAACAATAATCATTTAACTATTTATAGGTATCAATGCCAAGGTTGGTCTTGATAGTTTCAAATAAACTGAGCATTGGATTATTTATTATAACACATAAGTATAGGTACAGAGAGGCACCAAGTACATATGCGCCACACGAATCTCAATTGATTTGTGTGAGGGCTGTGATACTGCTCGGGTGCCCAAACCGAACCAGGTGGTTTTCTTGGGGGGCCACACCCCGAGCCTTCGACCTGAACGTCTGACCCACAAGGCAGTGGAGCATCGTAAGGAGATGCAGTCCCATAGTAGCCGGTGACCAACGATTGGTTCATACGCCATTTGTTCCTTCAGGATACTGGAGCCCATGTGCACCATTGGTTTGGGGTCCGGTTAAAGCGCCGGACATTCGCTTTTCGTCCTCTCATTTTTGTAAACAACACCCCCGCCACGAGAAGGCAGTGAGTAGGACTTCCCTGGCAGAGGCTATATACGCATGGCCATGTGAGAGCATTTCGAGAGGGAGAGCGGACTCTCCTCACTCTCGGCCGTACTAGGGCATTTGGGGGCGAGAATAATAATAAGTATATTTTTTATATCGCAATAAGTAGAGAAAGGTGGCTTACATTAGGTCACAAAACGTCAAAAATATACAATTTTTCTACTCACTGGGATATAACAAAAAATATGTTTATGATTCACTTAATTATTTATTTTCTTGTTCAATATGCAGACCTTCATGAAATTACAGTAACCGAAGTAGGAAGATTTATTTCACATTATAAACGTCATTCAAGTAATCAATTAAAAAAATAAACTTCTTACTTAAAGTTTCTGGATTTACCCATGTAGCAGTTGAGTTCACTTTCAATGGGCAACCTTCAAATATTTGCATGAAACAAGCACCCATCTGTAGATGAGAAAGAAAAATAAGTAACAACGGAAAAACTGGTTAGAAATTCGGATTTCCTAAAGTAAACAATAAACAGAACTGAAGTGTTTATATATCCTCTTATTTTTGCTAATAGACAATAATGGTATTGTTTTATTTCATTAATTTATATTCTCATGAACCGCATCTTCGATGCCAAATCTTTCCTATTACCACTGATATCGTCAATACTTTTACTCCTCTAAGTTTTACAAATGTTCAGTTAATTATAATTTATTTTAATTTATTCATTGTATCGTTTTGTTATTAACCTTTTATCGATGTTTTGTTTACAAATATCATTTTGCCTAGGAATTCAAAAAAAAAAAACTATGCATCACACGTTTTTCTTAATTTTTTTTATATGAATTTGATATATTTTCTATATTAGTGATGATTCTTTAATGAATATTAGTTTGTAATGAAATGGATTTTGATTAATATTTTTCCAATAGTTGAATTCATGAGTCCATTAAAGCTAGATCATCTTTAATCGGCTCATGAATTCAACTATTAAATTACTAAAATCTCCACAAAATCCATTTCTGATATATTTTTGGTTGGAAAAAAACAGAGCTATATGTAGTCGCAATAAATAATAGTAATAATAATAATAATAATAATGATAATAATAATAATTTACATGAACTTTTGGAGTAGGAGGAAGACCAATACCCATTTCTAATTGATGTTGACGTGAAATATGTTTTGATGAGTCGTCATTTTGTTTACTATTTCGAAGAGGTGTTGGCAAAGAAGTTATACCAGTATGATTATTTAATTTAGGCGGTGGAGGTCTGGGTGGAGCTGGTGTTAATGTTTTATCATTATCATTCATAGAAGAGGATAATTGACCATTATGATTTATACTAACAGAACTATTGTATTTTTCAGTCTCATTACCATTATCATCATTATCATTTTCATTATTGCTCATAGAATCCTCTCGAATTATTTGAATATTATAATTTAATGTTATATCATTTGATGTCTCTTCAACATGATTTTCATGTGATGGAGCAGAGATGCCATTGATACATAACTTGTCGGTTTTTGAAATATTACTGCCAATATTCAAAGTAGACAAATCTATTATTTGATCTAATGATGAACACATATTATTATTATTAGTAGCAGAAGTAGTGTTAGTCGTTGTAATAACGTTCAATGCTGTAGATGATGGCTGTAATGGTGGTGGTGGAGGAGCGCGTCGTTTCGAACGCGAGCGTGGCGCTAGAGGAATGTTCGGTTGTATTATTGAAGTATTATTTTGTGATTCATTCTTTGTAAAAAGAAAACAAGAAGATATAAAAATTATTAAGCGGTAAATAAATACAAAAATGCTGAAATACCTTTCTACTTTGATTATTATTTAATGTTCTTGAACCCTTCTTGATACTAATTTGAAAAATGTTTCATCAATAAGATATGTGACTTTATCACAATGTTTTTACATGATGTCTGAATAGGCGTGGATTATTTGAACAGTTTCATTTCATATTTTAATGAGATGAGCATTTGTTAAAATAAAAGTTATGGCTCCTGTTACGGAATAAGTTTTCAATGATTTTATGAATGAATTTTCAATCGTGAAATAACAGAGAATAGTGCTGATCGATAAATGAACTGCAATGATACGATGTCCTGCTTCGGTTTGGGCACCCAGGCAGTATCACAGCCCTCACATATATCAAATGAGGTCTGTGTGGCGCATATGTATTTGGTGCCTCCCTGTACCAATATCTATGTGTTAAAATAAATAAATAATGATACGAGGAATCGCTTTCCACGAGATCGAATTGTTGATTTGAGTTATCGAATGATTTGAAATTAAAGGCAAGACCACTAGTCAGAAGAATCGTCTTACCATCTACTGAAACGACATGTTTGTATACAAAATACCAACACAAAAAGAGATAAATTATCATACGCCTTTGGAGGAAATCAGTTTTTAGGTCACTCATTGATCAATTAAGACCATCGGAACTAATTCTTAAGCATCATATCAGTTACATGATAAACATTGAAAGACAAGATAACTGACAATTTTGATGTAAATTGCAAATTTCCACCCAACTCATTTTACAATATGTTGATTTATTATCTAGTTAATTTTTGCTCTTTTACAAATAGTACATAAATTTAGCTGGTGTATTAATGATGAAAAGTAATTGATTATTTTACATTTATTATTATAACAGAATTTGGTGTAACTAAATAACCAAACAAAAGATTATGTATTTAGCTTCAGGTGATATCTTCCTTATGAGACCCTGCAATACTAGTGCCTGTACGACCGTGCTTGAGCCTGGAACCTACCTGGTTATCAAACCGAATTAGGTAAAGCAAGATTCGGAAGAGTGATGTGTCGTATATTGACAATAATAATAATAATAATGACAATAATAGTAGTGTTAATGGTAATAGTAATAATAATAGTGAGAAGTATCTATATTATAAACTAAAGTAACAGGAACTCACATTCAATTTGATCTCATTATCCATCCGACTAACATCAAAACTGAAAATAAGATTGTCGCAAAAAAACGAAGTAATTAAAATTTTGGAAAACAGATCCTTATTTTCTAAAAAATTAAGGAATGTAACAAATACTTTTTGTATTGACGGCTATCATAAAAAACATTTGATCAGTTTATATGCTATTTTATTTATTTGAACACACAGATGTTAGTACAAGGAGGCACCAAATACATATGCGCCATACAAATCTCATTTGGTTTGTGCAAGGGCTGTGATACTGCCTAGGTGCCCAAGCCGAAGCAGGGCCACACCCATAGCCTTCGACCTAAAGGTTTGACCCACAAGGCAATGGAGGATTGTAAGGAGATGCAGTCCCATGGTAGCCGGTGACCAACGATTGGTTCATACGCCATTAGGTCCACCAGGATACTGGGGTCCATGTGCACCATTGGTTTAGAATCAGGGTTTTCCAACTCCCCTAGGTTGACTCTCCGTGTCCACCAACCCGGTTAAAGCGCCGGACATTCGCTTTTCGTCCTCTCATTTTTGTAAACAACACCCCCGCCACGAGAAGGCAGTGAGTAGGACTTCCCTGGCAGAGGCTATATACGCATGGCCATGTGAGAGCATTTCGAGAGGGAGAGCGGACTCTCCTCACTCTCGGCCGTACCAGGGTATTTGAAGGCAGTTTATATACTACATTCAATGGACTTAAGAAAGCGAGAGGAATATGATTTTCATCATCTCATAGATAACTTAAAACCAAGGAACACTCAAAGGCTATCTTGTTTCAGTTTGACACTTCACAACTACGTGTGGAATAGAACCCAGAATACTCAGATATTGAGAAGAGCATGATATTCTCCAGATTAACGAGTAGAAACCAAATAATATTAACTTTAGTAAATAAGAGATATAAGGTGATCTTTATCAGATATTATTAGACTATATCAAGAAGTATTGATAAACTGAATAATTATTATGTTGAATAGTTTTTAAGACAAAAAAAATCTATTTACGTTTGGTACATTTTCACAGTTGACTTACCCATCAATGGATTGAGATGCACGAAAATCAACACCACTACGACGTTTTTCAAATGCATCCATTACCTCACTAAGCAAATCCTACACATCGAAAAAGAAATGAAACCAAGTAAAAATTTCAATAAAATGACAAAAAGCAAGATCTATATTAAACATTACATAATGTGCTTAATTATCAAATATTTTGTGCACTTTTTATTACCCGAATATAGAATGAAGTGTTATAAACTATGGAAATCAAATAGTATGTATTTTTTCTACTAAAAACTAAGTGAATTTGTAAAAATTAAAAAGAAGCCATGAACAATGACGACATAAAATAACCAACCATCTTAGATTGTTATTTTTCTCAACATAAAAAGAATTAGACGCAAATGAAAATATTAGGCATAGTAAGAGAATTATATATGTTTGATTACTGTGCTTGCGTTACTTGGCTACTTCGTGTTTAATGACATACATACATTGATGGATGGTTAATGTAATGATTAGATAATGATTGTGAATAAATTAAAACTGTTTTGTAAAAATCACCAAAAATTTAGAGTAGAGTAAGAGGTAGTGAACAAATGTACAGTGTTGAGTATCTGAATACGAATGTGACGGAACGATAGATCATGGGTTGACGTAATAAGCTATGGGTAATATATGTTTAGTGAAGGTTACTGACAGTACCCAGATGTAAAATACAATGAGAGTGGATCGTAATTCAAATCCTTGGACTACTGATGAAAAGTTGTGCACATGGAACCCTGAAACTTAATTTAAATTGTAGAACCAAGAAGCTGGAAATCATGCATGTAGAACACTAGGGAAACAAACGGATTTATATTTATATAAGCAAAATCGAAATTTGTTTAACATGAATTTATAAACATTATTTTATTGATAAATGAACAGGGCAAATTAAAAAATTTCAAAAGAAGTTCTTTTGATACACAACTGAAAATATAGCATAACTCTTGTCAAACATGCATACGCCTAGAATTCAGGAGTTTATAAATCTTGACATAATGTAGAAAATGGAAGTAATGAATCCGTACTTCTAAAATTAACAGAATGTAAAACAAAATAGGCACTTGCCTCTGAACTGATGTGTAATAAACGATCAGCAAATAAATGATTTTCTGTTAAACAATCAGTTTCTTCAGATATTTCACCAACACTGTTTATATTTGATACACGTGACGGATTAAGTCGTACTATGGGCGGACAAGGACGACTAGGTTTTTGCTTATCATTATTATTAATGGTAATAGTTATAGCTGATTTATCGCTATTACTATTATTATTACTGTTATTGTCAGTAGAACCAGTAGATATAAGAGTAGCCATATTATTATTTTGATTGAATGAATTTGTTGAATCTACAGAATGATTACTATCATTATTAAGCACCGAAGAGTGTCTAGAGGATTTCACTGGTAATAAAGGTCGAATCACAGCCTGTTGTTGTGCATGATTAGACTGAGATAATGAGTCAGATTGTGAATGTTTTACAAATCCATTAGCTGTAACTGTTATATCTGGTGAATAGTTTTTTTTAGTCAAATTATCATTATTTTTTATAGTGATTTCTCTTCCTTGTGAAATGTAGTTCACATCTGTAGATTCTGCAATCTCATTACAATTCTTTGTATGATCCTAAAGTGTTAAAATGGAAAAATTAAAGGTAAAAATAAATGAAAATGTTAGATGAAGTATTTACCAAGAGGTGAATTATGAAGATTAACGTGATTGGAAACGATAGTTTTCAGATGGAACTAATCTCGAAAGTTGTAATTGTATGTAGATTTAAAAGAAATGAATCAATGGCTCAACCAAATAGATATATACCGTTGGATGACTTAAAATAATCATTCATACATAATGTTATGACTGAATTACAAACATAAGATATAATCAGCAATCTTATATATTTCTCGGGTATCTGAAAGTTAGATGGACTACGAAAAAAAAGAAAAAAAAAGCGAATCTTGCGCTTTATCTGTTTTTTTGTACTGTTGTGACATGTGGAAAAGTGTGAGTGCACGTAGGGGTCTTTTTCCTCATATTCGTCTACCTTTATAAAACGACCATAAAACTATGAATTCTGATAAGTGAAAATATTCGGCTATTTCTACTATTATTACAGTCATTCAGTCATAATCAATGCAGCGCATATGATAATCGACATAAATTAACATGATAAACCAATATAACCTACTAACTACGTGCATGTTAGCGTGCTCGGCTTTGAGGTGTACTGTTTATATGGACGTTAGTGATACCAGTCTTAGTTACTCGGATAGAAGTAGATGGGAACGATTTCAAAACTGATGATCTACTGAGTACATGACAAGCACTAAAACCTTTCTTCATATTTACACAATCTTATATAGATTTTAATTCAAACCATCAATTATAGTGGTTTATACTGCTAAAAAGATATGTAATAATTAGTAAGTATAAATCTACTGTACCATATATCTAATTATAATTCTGATTCTATATAAATTATTTTTTAGACATTTCTAAATTACAATTACCAGTAGTCTATCATCAACTATAGCCTGGATTAGTATGATAGAATGACAATGCACAAACAGTGGATTCAGTCGAAAATCACCTGGAAATATTAAACCAATGAGAAAATAAAAGAAATACCGACATATACATGTTGAAGTAGAAAAATAAAATGGTATTGTTCTAGATGGTATAAGTTGTATGGTAAAAGTATCTATTATTTGTTATCATTGTTGTTTTTACAATAAATTTATATACGAAAAAAATTACATGAATCATCTATATGATAAATAAAATTTAAACTGATAGACGTTAATATTTAATGCAATGAATTACACAATTTAGAATGTTAATTAATGAAATTTATCATACACTAACATGAATTCTTTTGATAGCAAAGTTATGAAGTTGTTTAAAATAAAATAAAACAGAAATGAAAAACGTAATAATCTTTTGTTTCTTACAGAAAGAAAAAATACCGAAACGGATAACTAAGTTTCAAAATTCACTAAATTATTTTTGCTACATAAACAATGTAATAATTACAAGATAATGTATGGGCTTAACTAATGATCATCCATACATGAAAACTTTCAATAGAGAAACTAAACTAAAATTATAACTATTTTCGAAGATAACTTTATTATTAAGATCAATGAAAGAGCACAAAACAATAAAAAACAAGCCTTAGAGATGATGTAAAACTTACATTATTATAGCTAAGCTGAAATCGATAGGTAAGTAATGTAGTAAGCAATTGAATGATAATCAGTAATAAAAAAAAATGAAAAAAGTTGGTTATCAGGTGACAGAAATTATTGTGAACATACATTATCTCAACTGGTCACAATTCGCAAAATGAACAAAAGAATCGAAGTGATAATAACAATAGTAGTAACGAAAACGATACACTTAGAGAATTTAGTCAGAAAGGCATGAATGAAGTTGAAAACAATGCACAGAACATGGTCAAATAGTAAAACTCAAAGTCTGGAAAGGAGACAATGAATCCAATTATGCCATTGAAACTGATATGAAGTTCTGTCACCAAATGTATTATAAAAACACAGATCCCAATAATCAACAAAGAAGGCGTCAATAAGCGAATTCCAAACACGAAATATAACGTAGCCTCGTTTTCGGAACTCTAAATGAAAGCTTTTCTAAAAGAAATCACTTTACCATCTCTCTGCTTTAACATTGTTCAGTGAAGTTCAGTTATAAAAAGATGTAGAGCTGTGTGAATCTATACAGAAAGTAAACTCAAAATATCAAAATCCAACACGCTCAAAGGTTAATTAGTGCTTTATGCAAAACCACCAAATCAAAAAAAAGACAATCTGCAAAATTATGGTTTCGTAAAGATTTTCTACAAGCTGAAATTTAACGACAGTCAGTCAGTCAGCTGCAACGTAAGACCAGACACATATATGCATCGGTTCAAGTTGCCATACCGCATTAACACAGCAAGACGAACACCAAATTCATAGAAACAGTTCACTCAATAGTGTAATATATAAAGGAAAGATCTTATGTAAGGATATAGTACAGAAAGGAAGAATTACTTCGTAGAAAGAAAGTTCCGAAGTGATTTTAATCTCTTAGTTTAAGGGAAGACAGAGAGTGTACACACCGACGCCTTTGTGATCGATTCTGAGCCATGTCACACCGAGTTTCCAACCATTGGTTACGATGGTCACGCGGACACCAACCAGGCAGTCTGCATCTAACAACATGGTTCAGACCAGAAATTAATGTCTTCAACGTTCCATTCACACTGTCTGGGAATAGAGGGTAGTTGTAGAGTAGCTGAAGATCATCTGAACTGTTCTCCAAAATGTTCCGCTCATAGTTCTAAACGTCTGGACTGGGAGCAGATGAGTGTTGTTTTTTTCCGAAATAGTCTGACTTACGCTTGACTTATTAATTCCAGTTTCTTTTATTAGTCTGTAGAGCTGTCTTGTGTTCCCTATAGCCGCCACCTATTCCATCTCTTTTGCTTTCGTTGCTCACTATTACTCGCGGTCGTTCCTTAGACTTTTGGTTAACCTAGATCTGATTTCTTTACGCTCATCATCCTGTTCAGAACCTGATGGGATGAGTTTACGAGAATCTATCAGTGCAATAGACCTTGGAGAAGTCCATTGGTTCTTTGTAACCCTGTGGTTTAAATCACTAATAGATATCACTGCTGTTTCCACAGCTGCTTGTATAACTTTCCAAGCAACATCTGGGTCAGCCTCGTTTTCAGAACTGCCTAATTGTGACCTCAGATATTCCTGGAACCTACTTTTGGCTTTCTCATTACTCAATTCGGTTCTAATGAGTCTTTTTTGTGTGGCTTTTTTGCGTCCAGTGAGGTGCAAGCAAATGCGTGCTCGTATTAGGGCATGGTCGGAGTCCAAGCAGGTACTCCAGAATGAGCGACAATCTTCTATCGACCCTCTCCAACGATGACTGATGGCAATATGGTCTATTTGAGTCCATCGTTGGTTTGGTGCAGGGGGTCGCCATGTTAGACGATGTCTCTCCTTATGCTTAAAATTTGTGTTTGCTAAAAATAAACGATTGTCTGAGCACAGTTGCAGCAGACGATCACCATTATCTGTTCTCTGTGGCGGAATACTAAAATACCCACCTAAATGTCTTTCTGTTTCGTTTAAGCTACCTACCTGGGCACTAAAGTCACCTGCTACGAGTACTATGTCTGAACATTTAGCTTTCTGAAGAAGTTCAGACAGCTTTCTGTAAAATTTAACTACAATGAAAAACTATAACATATTTATGTACTCAGAACTGAATACTAGTTATTTATTCGATACATAGGTGGATTATGAATGATTTGATACCTTTAATGACAATAACTTCACATTTTTTCCTTAGATAAGACAGTAACAGTGTATGACCAGAAGTAGATTTAATACAACGTTAATTAACAGTGGAATAAATACAAACTTATAGAATTGAAAATTTGGGGTTTTATTAACAGTCCCAACTGCATAGATCAAATTGTGAAAAATAGTAAAATATTCTTTTATTATTTCCTTTTAATTCAAATAAATTGCGAAATCCCATAATATAATACCACAGTCAGTGCTGTTTTTTATTAACGGCAAACTCAATTATTTTTTACTCATTAAAGCTTTCGATATTACATTGATTTTCAAAAATAAATTGTAAATATGAGAACTTTCACAACAGAATCAAAAAGGTAAGTTGTACACTAGGATTGCTCAGTCAGTCTACATGACATCAAACATAAATAATCTAGTGTCTTTTTTGTGAAATACTTGATTATGGGATTTTATTAGCAGTATTTCAGTTAGTCATTTGTTACTGCTACTAAGATGACCCATAACTATACGAGCAATGGTGAAAACTGGTATTTTGAGGTTATCAAGATAATTTAAAACACATAGAAAGACAAATGTTGAACTTACATCGGCTAAATCAGAGCAAGATAAACTGCTTTGGATTTGTATATTTGGGAATCGTTCCGGTTCTCGTTCAATAATGAGTTGTTGTGATGAGACAAAATGCACAGGAACACTAGCATCAATTCCGTGACTAACTGGGAGATCATTGACTCGAAGAGATTTGAAATATTCTTCCTGTCGAACTGAAATAGGCATACCAGGAAAGGATACTGGTGGTTCATGATTATCAGGAGCGATAAAATTACCCCCAGATGGGGGATTCTTTTTATTTGATGAAGATATTCCTGTGTCTCCATGGGAATAAGTGTTTTTGGCTGAGGATTCTAATTGTCTCCGATAGCACAGCAGACGTTGAGTTAATAAAGTAGACAAGTGTGGATTTGTAACAAAGTTATGCTACAATTCAATCAGAAAAATTATCATTCAAGTTAATGAATTGAGAAGATTTGATAGATTTTAAAGTAGTTATAATCAAACGTTAATATCAATTAAATAGATATTTACAACAATTAATACCAGATAAATATTTTACTCTAATGTTCGAGACTCTTACATGTATCCATGTTTGTCAATTATGTAAGAAATAAACGCATAACTATCAAGATTTATTACAAACCCGACAGTCCATGAACCATTAAATCTAAAAGCTAAAATGGCCAGATTAATGGTTAATTAATCGATCACCAAATTATAACTAGAGTTTAAATGATGGAACCACAACCCTAGTGACTGAGTCTATGAATACATATTAGGAAATTATCGATAATATTTAAGTGGAAATCACTCAGTCAAAATAGTATAGCAATGATTTAACTTGTCGGTCAATAATTGAATAATCAAGAATGGGAATAAAGATCACAAAATAGTCACTTCTGAAACAATGAATGCATAACCAATCAATGAAATAATATTTAAAGTATATGTAACCTACTGTAAGCATTGTAGCTGCATCAGGTCTTCGTCGTTCTGCTTTGATTAAACAACATTTAATGAACGAATGAAATAATGGTGACCTAAAATATATAGAAATGATAATAATAATAATCAATGATAGACGCGTAGATGATAACATATGGATGATAATTTGTCTCTGAACTTTTTGAAATTAAAATGACTTAAATGACAGGAAAGAAAAAAGTAGTGATGAATAAAAGATTCGTACGCCTCAACCCGGAAAGTAAACAGAACAAGAAAGAATTTGAAGTTGAAAACCCATTAAAAAGCAAATTGTCTATTTTCTTATTAACATTAGCTTGGAAATTACATTGATAATTAACATGTATAGGTGGCTTAACAGTCGTAATTGAAAGCAAAAGAAATCCTATGAAAAATTGATTATTTATGTATAATAAATAATGATTTGGTGTTAAGTAATATCCTTAAAAAATGTTTGCTAACAAATTCGCACTACGAATACTCAAGTCACATTTACGAAGTAGTGTTCTGTATTCAGAAATAGTCTCTTAGAATGCATAGATTTGTCGGAAATCGGAGCACTAAATACAATTATTGATTCAAGAAAAAGAACATAGGATACATCACCACTATACATCAATCTGAATTACCACGATGCACATCAGTACAAACAGGGAAATGACAAGTGTGTTAAATGTGAAATAAGATTAAAAGGTAAGATTGTGACGAAAAAATAGAAAGGAATACATGTGTCACCGATTGAAGTATATTCTGTGCATGAAGATCATTAGCACTCCCTTGATACTCAAAGTAAAAGAAGTGGAACGAGGAGCTAGAACTTGCAACCTAGTTGTTGAAAGTTAAGTTTGTTCGCAACTCAGTCATAGCATTACTGCCAAAACTAGCCCATGATCAAACAGTGTGCTGCTAGGTACTCGTATTTATTCTGAATAATGATCTATGTTTTGTGTGATTGTATGTGAATATTGATTTCCTGTCAATCAAGCTACTGGATCAGTTTTCTTTCAAAATCGATCACAAGCATTGTGTTTCGAAGCTTGATCATATCACATATTATATTTCTGGATGAATTAAACAACAGATCATATGACTAATAAGAAAAAATTTCAATTTAATTTCGCAACAATTAAATATGGAATTTTACATTTCACTGTTTACATGAAGTAAAGCATTTAGTACCACTAACTTAAATAGCTGTTTTTAATGGTAGTATCAAGCTGAATTAAGTGACATTTTAGATTGAGCTAACATGCATTGTTGAACTACATATAGATGAAAATGAGTATTAAGAATTTACGATGTTTTATGATAAGTATATCAGTCACTATCAATTCCATTTCAAGAGTCCTGTTGTTAATATATCAATTAATGGCAGTTAGTATAATTGAAAAACCTTATCAAAAAAGTTCTTTCAGTGAATTTATCTGTTTGATTACAGTAAAAGTGGTTTTCAGAATTAGTTAAATTGAAGACAATTTTCATTGTAATTAATAAAAACAAGGACCAATTAAAAGTTGAGTTCTAGTTTGGGACTTCTTAGTAGAAGTATGGACTCTTGAACCTTATCATGAATTTAAATTGAAGCAATTAGATAAAGCTCCAGGTTCGAACCCCGTTTCATCACTTTCGAGTAGTATCGATAACCTTTACATATCTAGTGTGGCTCATACCCAAGTATTTGGTGGATATTTAGTAAATCAGTTTTAATAATGAAACTAATTTTTATTATTATAAAAATATAGCACAATGGTTGACAAAAAGACCAGATGACTTTCAGAGATACTCAAAATATTCAACTGTTTTACAAAAATTAACCCAACCATTAATTATAGAAACAAAAATACAGGAATTTAGGAAATATATTGTTCCCCCTAACTCAGTCTTCTTACGCAAATAAACGACTGAACTCGTGAATAGGAAGCATGTTCATCAGTATTTGAATCAGACATCGCGCAACACAACAGTGGCACACTTTGACCTCATTTTTATTATTTTTACTGTAAAATTATGCAAAATCTGATATTCAAGATAAACTTTCTTACGTTGTAATGCTATATTAAATACATGTTGTTACACATGCCATAAAAATTCCGAAAAAATATTTTTAACAATCTCAGGTATGATTTCTACAACATAAAAATATGTCATTTGAGGTTTACCACAACCGTAAAATAGGACGATAATGACTAACAATTATGAATTAAAAACATATACAGTGTACAACAAGACAAGACGCGTAATAAAAAAGTAGGCGTAATCGCAGTCGCGTCTATGATAATGGGAAAAACCAAACATACAGAATTTTGCTTAAAAATAAATAATCTCACGGGATAAGATGCATGAAATCATATTAAGGCTGAAGATCTGAATGATTGCAACTGATTATCAGCCATGTTATTCAACAACTTCAATCGATGATCACGAATATCATGCAAACATATTGACATAGCTTAGACCAACAATCAATACCTTGATGTATTAGGCCGTAGTGTCATGACTGTTGCCATACTTTTTTTTAACTCTTACACTAAGCAACATGAAAAAATCAAAGCAGACGATTTGAAGACACCAAACCAATCAGATATTATTCACTGGAGAAAAATAAAATTTTATAAAGAATGTCTAGAGGTTTGAGAATTTTTATTAATTGGTTGGTATTTTATTAAACGTGGAGTTAGAAATCTTATGTTTATGACGAAAAGGTCATTATCTTATGCGTTTATTACCTATTAAAGCGAGCAAAATGCTGGTAGAAAAAATTTCATGTTAGCCTGAGTGGGAAACAAAATACGGATAAAATGAACTACTATCGAGATAGCTACCACAACGCAGTCAGTCGAGTCTAACAGATTAACCAGCGAGATTAAAGATAACAAGCTTTGAGACCCATTTCTAGTACACTAATTAGAAAGACTAGATTGGAACATTAAAACGCTTCTAGTTGAAGAAATTAGGAAGAGACACGATGTGGATAGGACATACATTGTGGAAATCATCAAACTGCATCACGAGGCAAGCGCTAACTGGAGGTAAACGGGAAGGAGGAAGGTCACAGAACAAACTGCGTTGGAAATTGGAAGCACACATTAAAAGAATGAATAAAAACTGGAAAGGATTACCCAGGATAGAGTTGGATGGATAATTCTGGCAGAAAGTCTATGCTCTTCTACGAGGGTAACAGGCAATATATATAGACTAGACCAAACAATTGATAGATACCAATGAACACAGAATAAATGTTGCAACAACGAATATAACAACAACTCATAAAAAAAGAAAACGAACCATTTATGACGGTCTTGTAAAGAAGGGGGCTTATAGTTTCGCGAACCCAGAATTTGTAGTGCTCTAAGGAAAAATGATAAAAAAAGAATAGTGTCATTTAGCCGGCAACAGTACAAATAGTTACATTTCGAACAACTCACTTTTAATAGGTGCCAAAACACACTTACTTCCTAGGGTCTAGATCAAACATTGGAGGTTGCAGTTCAGCATATTCAATAGCAGTAATCCCAACACCCCAAATATCACACTTTCCATCATAACCCGAGCCACGAGATTCAATTGAAGCTACCTCAGGCGCCATCCTACAAAATTATCGAAGAATTTAGCAGTCAACGGAAACAATGTTTGTGGTTAAATACTATAGAACTAGGTTAAAAATCATGTTTTCAACCCAATCGAACATCAATATGAGCATGAACTTATTAATACAACTGCGTAATCGATTTCTCTTGGTTTAGGCTTTCTCCATATACATTTGTTAAAAACGAGTTGTTAAAATCTATGTAATGTTTGCTTGGTAAGATAAGTTTACAGTTGGTAATATTATGTTACTGACAAAATCTATTCAACGAAAGAAACTACTATTACATCATTTTTGCTGATGACAACTATTCAAAGAAATGGTAGTGATAGGTGGATCTGAGGATTTTTGTAAGTTTAATTAAAATTAGCGTAACGATTCCTTCTAGTTATAATTAACTTGTAACGAGTTAGTATGACTAGAAAACGGGTTGTTATTATTATGCTGATTCAGCCAGTCAGTCATAAGCAACGTACAGCTTGGCGCAGATGTGTATTGGCATACAGCATCAGTTTGATGAGATAAAATTAACAATATGTACGGCAAAATACAGTGAAATAGTGTAGTATCAATAAAAATGAGAGTCAAAGCATTGAGAATAGGGTTTCAATAGATAGAGTGAAGAGGGTATGTATGAAAGAACGATGGGATTAATGATACAGTGGAGAATAAACAGTTAATGTATTTGTGCCTTTGTGAATGATTCTGAGCCATATCATCCAAAATTTCCAGCTTCTGGTCGCCGTCAATGCACAGACCAACATGGGTCAAACTAAGTCAATCGCTTAACAGAGTGATGTAGTGTCTTGGTTTGGCCACCTCTAGCTTTTGTTTGACCTACTTCTATACCAGCAAACATCAACTAGGAGTAAGCAACACGTGTCCTAAATACGTTAGTCGACGAATATTTATAGCCTCATCAACTTATTTTTTTACTTTTATCTAGTACCCTATTGTCATATCTGGATGATGAATAAGTGAACGGTAACTGCTAGGATCTATTTAGGGACTGTTATTATATATATTCTTGTTGTATAACTATTAAGTAACTATATTATATGTATATTCATGTTCCTCTTATTATAAGCTTCCATTCGACTTATTGACTACTATTATGCGATTTACTACTCTAAATTTATTTCCAAATACATGATTTACCTAGTGGAGGCTGGTATTGGTATTCTGGACTGGACCAGCTGGTTTAGACAAGAAGCCCCTATCTCAGAGAACCAATGGGAACTCAGAGTGGACTCTAGGCTGCTCGTACTGGTTTATGCGTCATTGATTTGGTCAGTAAGTCGGTGTTCTAATTGGTGACATTATCACGTGATAACTAATAGGCTACAAGGACATAACACCTATCTCTAACATCGCTCAGTAATTCCACAAAGCGCAAGCAATGCTTCGAAGATGAAAAGCCTGCAGCGTATGCATTTCCTTTACTTTCACAGACCATGTTTCATATCCATAAAGTAACATAAAGTGGGTAGCTGCACAGTGTATAGCTCCTTCAGTCGGCAGACGAATATCACGTCTACTCTTCAAGCAACGAAAGTTGGCAAAAACAGACCAAGCTTTCGTCAGACATCAACCCACCAGAGTTGATGAGACTTCCGAAATAAGTGAAGTGACCTGTACGCCCAACTACATTTCTCTATCATTAGCTCAGGCGTTAACATGTACCAGTCCTGAAGCAAAATTTTAAATTTATAGGGAGAGAAGTGCCCCCTAAATATGTTTTCATTGTTGTTCAATGTGACCAAAAAATTGCACGTTTTCAGCGTCTTCACCTAATAGTAATATGTTATATGTATTTCAAAACGATAGGTAAACCTACTAATAAAAAACCAACCCCTGAAGAGTTAGGTGAATGTTATTGATAGGAAAACATCTATGACAAAATTAGGCAAAATGGAAGAAGTGGACAAACCTGACAACCACCATATGACAGTTTGCCTAAGGCCCTGACTAGACAAGCAGTGTCTGAGTATAACAATTTCACAAAGGTAATGTACTTAATTAGTAAGTTTCTAAATTATGATCACTGTCACAGGACCTATCGTTCAGTAGAATCAAATATACTTATTAACACCCAAATAACGACAACAAACGCAGAAACATAATTGTTGAGGAAATGTTTTTTCTGAATTTACAAGATTATAGAATGGCGGCTTAATGATTAGAGCGGTCAGCTTCGGCTTGGAGCCAGTAAATCGAGTATGAACCTTGTCTGATGCATTTCGGTTTCGACACCTGGGTAGTATTAATAGACTGCAAATAAGTAATGTCAGATAGCTACAACTTAGGACCAGGCACATACATTCATCGGCCCAAGTTGCCATACCGCATTAGCACAACAGGATGAACACCAAATTCGTAAAGTAGTTACTTTAATGATAGTAATATATAAAAGAAAGACTGTGTATAAGGATATAATACAGGGAGAAAGAATTAGAAAGAAAAGTATAAAGTGATTTTAATCACACGGTTTAAGGGAAGACAAAGAGCCATGTCACACAGTTTCCAACCATTGGTTACGATGGTCACGCGGACACCAACCAGGCAGTCTGCATCTAACAACATGGTTCAGACCAGAAATTAATGTCTTCAAGCACTGATGCCACGTTTTGGTTTGGCCACCCCTACCTTTCTTCCAACCATCCCCAACACCGGTTAGCATTGCACGTCGTGGTAATCGGTGTTCAGGCATTCGTAACACGTGGCCCAACCATCTCAGTCGATGAAGATTCACAACCTCATCAACTGATTTACCATCATTCCCTAATACCCTGTATCTTACCACACTATTACTTACTCGGTGATCCCAGTAGATGCCAGCAATGTTTCTAAGACATCTGTGGTCAAATACTAGTAACTTACGAGTATCTTCCACTCTTAATGGACACGTTTCGCAGCCATAAAGTAAAATAGAACGAACTGCCGCGCAGTATACTCGTCCCTTGATTGATAGACGGATATTTCGCCTTCGCCATAGGTGACGTAAGTTGGTAAAAGCCAAACGAGCTCTTCGAATCCGTGCTGAGATTTCGTCAGACACCAATCCATTAAGGCTGATCAGACTTCCAAGATAAGTGAAGTTGTCAACGCGTTCGACTACTTCACTCCCTATCCTTAGTTTAGGTGTTGACCTAGACCAGTCCTGAAGCAACAACTTGCATTCAAATGTGGAGAAACAATGTAACTCAAAATAGTTAAAGATAGAATGTGACATCCTTCAATCAGTCGTAAATAACGTAAAACCTGATACACATGAGTATTTGTTAAAATTGCCACAGCATATCTGCATAACGAGAATTTTTCAAGATAAATTCTAGAGTAGTAAAAGTGGTAGTAACAGTACCAATATTTTAGACATAGAACATACGATTCAGGAATGAAAGGTACAAGAAAGTTTTAGAATTAAGGTGGGGAAAATAGCGGATATATCTTTCTCACTACGACCGATTCTGAGTCATGAGTCCTTCAATCAACAAGATTCATTATTAACTGACATGAAAATACTAGATAATTTTCTCTTGTGATTTATTTTTAGAAAATATATGTACTTTGTGGACAAATTTGTAAAAAAAATACCAAGAATTATTATTAGAAAGAGTAAGGAAATCAATAAAAACTCACCAGTAGGGTGTTCCAATTAAAGTTGTTCGTTTGGCAATCGAAGTATTCAGTTGGGCGGCAACACCAAAATCCGCTAATTTATAAGATTGAAATAATCAGGTAAAAATCACTGATTACAAACAAACATACCCACTTTGACATGCCCGTCATCTGTCAGAAGAATATTAGCACCCTAAACATAAATCGCAGTCAAGGAAGTGGGAAAATACACTAACTTTAATATCTCTATGAATACGTCCACGATTGTGCATAAAGTTCAAACCTTGTAAAGTTTCTCTGGAGACAAATGCAATGCAGTCTTCTTCTAAGGGACGCCTGGTATCTACACGAAAAATAACAAACCACAGTTTATGATAAATTATTTTCTTCATACAGAGATAAATATCTTGCATAGATTGTCCACCGCAATATTCCATGCATATCCATAATTTGTTATTCCTGAATAAAATCAATTTTCATACAGATTACGTGTAGATAAGTTACCTAAGATAACTACCATAAAACTGCACAATATTTGGATGCCGACATTCTCTCAAGGTGTGTATTTCTTGGCAAATTGATCGAATGTCATCCTTTAGATCAATCTTCATAACTTTAACTGCCACCAATGTTCGCCTCTCACGATGAACCGCCTGGACAAAACAAAGCGATTACTCAAACATAAGGGAAATAACACACGGGAAAATTGCGTCAAGAAAACTTCTTACTATACCAAGATGGAATAAATTAGTAACTGATATGGTTAGTGGGAAAATAATTTTACGTAGTATTTATTAAAAACCTTAGATCGTCAATCGGAAATTTCAGCAGATATACATCATTAGCAATGAGTTACAAGTATTGTAAGGAAACAAGATGTTTTGAGCCGACAGTTCCACTGATAAGCATTTACGAAGCAAGGACTAGAATTACTGTGGTATAAAGTGAACTTCACCTTGAGTCATGAAAATTTCCAATATATGCATTAGTATTATAAATATAATATTTCGAGGGCGTAGTGTAAAAGTGCACAAATATCTTACTTGGATGCTATGAAAGATGAAAAAAATTTAACAGAATAGTATAAAGGTTCAAAGTAAGCTTAGGAGTAATGGGAGGCAGAAAGTTCTCTAAATCCCTCATAACTTTTTGTTGTTTTTATCTTGCTAATTTATATTTTCTTTTCCAGTTGTCTCTTTGATGCCTAATTTCCCTATTACCACTGATAGTGTTACTACCTGTAATATTCTGAGATTTGGCCTGACAACATCTCTTCATGTTGTTACGTAACGAAATCGGGCAAAGATTGCGTAAGGACCGAGAAGCCTGGTGGTCGGAGCGTGCTAATGAGTTGGAAGCAGCAGCTGCATCTGGTAATTACCGGAAGCTCTTCCAACTCATCCGAGCCACTGGCAGCAAGAAGTCTGGTGTGAGAGAAACAATCTGCGAAGATGACGGAACGCCAGTCACTAACATCCATCGACGTCTTGGACGATGGGCAGAATTCTTCGAAGGGCAGTTCAACTGGCCTGCTGCTCCGGCAACATCGGTCAGACCGTCCTGCTCTCCATGGCCGGTGACGACTGATCCACCAAATGAGGCGGAAGTCCGCAAGGAACTCCAACTCTTGAAACGTTACAAATCACCGTGTCCAGACGACTTACCTCCGGCTCTTTTTAAAGATGGTGGTGACTTTCTGACTAAGGGACTGACGACGTTGTTTACAAAGGTCTGGGAACTAGAGAGTGTACCAACGTCATGGAATGAGTCGATAGTTGTCCTTATCTTTAAAAAGGGTTCACGTCGTTCCTGTGACAACTATCGGGGGATAAGTCTACTTCCGATCGCGTCCAAGCTATTGGCTTCCGTTATACTTCGTAGGTTGTTCAAAACCCGAGAAGGATTGACTCGCGAGGAGCAGGCTGGGTTTCGTTCCGGTCGAGGATGTAATGATCATATCTTCACCCTCCGCCAAATGTTAGAACACCGTCATACTTATCAAAGGCCAACAATCGTAGTGTTTCTTGACATCAGGGCTGCCTTCGATTCGTTGGACAGAACTGTTCTCTGGGATTGTCTATTGAAGAAGGGTGTGTCTGAGAAGTTTATTAACATCCTAAAGGCCCTATATATAAACACCTCAGGCAGAGTGAGGGCATACAACCACCTTTCTCCACTATTCCATTCGAGCAGTGGAGCTAGGCAAGGTTGCCCAATCTCACCATTCCTCTTCAACTTTGCCATCGATGACATTCTGAAAACAGCTCTGATGGAAATAAGTAATGGTGGTGTGGATCTATTGCCTGGAGAAAGACTTCTCGACCTTCAATATGCTGATGATATTGTCTTACTGTGCGAGAATGCCCAAACCATGCAATCCGCACTTAATCAGTTGGCAATCAGTGTCCGTAGGTATGGTATGTGCTTTGCACCCTCGAAGTGCAAAGTACTTCTACAAGACTGGCAGGATTCTAATCCTGTACTCACTCTGGATGGTGAGCAGATAGAAGTAATCGAAAAGTTCGTGTATCTGGGTAGCTGTATAAGTGCTGGTGGTGGCATGAGTGATGAGATCAATGCACGTATAGTGAAATCCAGAGCGGCTTATGCCAATCTGGGCCATCTTTGGAGCCTTCGTGATGTTAGTCTGGCTGTAAAAGGTCGGGTCTACAACGCGTTGGTGAGAACAGTTCTGCTCTACGCTTGTGAAACCTGGCCTCTCCGAGTTGAGGATGTTAGACGACTCTGTGTTCGATCATCGCTGTCTCCGATGGATTGCTGACATTCAGTGGCAACACCATGTTAGTAATGCAGAGGCTCGGCATCGTGTGTTCGGGCACAGAGACGATAATGCAATTAATGTCACCTTCTTGAAACACTGACTTCGGTGGCATGGACATGTTCTACGAATGTCGTCCCAGAGAATCCCACGTCGTGCATTATTTGCCTACGCTGGAACTGGTTGGAAAAAGCGGAGAGGTGGTCAGTGTATGACATGGTGTCGTGGTATAAAAGAAAGCTGCAAAGGGCTGGCTTGTGTTGGTCCTTCACGACTCCCTGGCTGGTGTCCGAGTGATGGTGCGACACAGTGACTAGAGACGTTATCAGATATGGCTCAGAATAGAAGCCAGTGGCGATCCTGCTGTAACCTTCTTTTACTTTCTTCATAAACAGTGGTTATAACTTCCTTAACTGAGAGAATTCTTTCTGGTTGTGGCGCATATATATCTGGTGCCCCCTTGTACCAATATTTACGTGTTCAAATAAATAAACAATAGACAGAAGTCAGTCAGTCAGCTGCAACGTAAGACCAGACACATATATGCATCGGTTCAAGTTGCCATACCGCATTAACACAGCAAGACGAACACCAAATTCATAGAAACAGTTCACTCAATAGTGTAATATATAAAGGAAAGATCTTATGTAAGGATATAGTACAGAAAGGAAGAATTACTTCGTAGAAAGAAAGTTCCGAAGTGATTTTAATCTCTTAGTTTAAGGGAAGACAGAGAGTGTACACACCGACGCCTTTGTGATCGATTCTGAGCCATGTCACACCGAGTTTCCAACCATTGGTTACGATGGTCACGCGGACACCAACCAGGCAGTCTGCATCTAACAACATGGTTCAGACCAGAAATTAATGTCTTCAAGCACTGATGCCACGTTTTGGTTTGGCCACCCCTACCTTTCTTCCAACCATCCCCAACACCGGTTAGCATTGCACGTCGTGGTAATCGGTGTTCAGGCATTCGTAACACGTGGCCCAACCATCTCAGTCGATGAAGATTCACAACCTCATCAACTGATTTACCATCATTCCCTAATACCTTGTATCTTACCACACTATTACTTACTCGGTGATCCCAGTAGATGCCAGCAATGTTTCTAAGACATCTGTGGTCAAATACTAGTAACTTACGAGTATCTTCCACTCTTAATGGACACGTTTCGCAGCCATAAAGTAAAATAGAACGAACTGCCGCGCAGTATACTCGTCCCTTGATTGATAGACGGATATTTCGCCTTCGCCATAGGTGACGTAAGTTGGTAAAAGCCAAACGAGCTCTTCGAATCCGTGCTGAGATTTCGTCAGACACCAATCCATTAAGGCTGATCAGACTTCCAAGATAAGTGAAGTTGTCAACGCGTTCGACTACTTCACTCCCTATCCTTAGTTTAGGTGTTGACCTAGACCAGTCCTGAAGCAACAACTTGCATTTAGAGGCAGAGAAGCGCATCCCAAACATTCTGGCATTGTTGTTCAGTGCTACCAAAACACTGCATTTCATCAGCGTCTTCACCAAACAGGACTATGTCATCTGCGTATTCTTAGTCGATAAGTGGAACTCCTGGGAGGAGGTCGATACCCGAGAATTCAGTAGTGTTCGAGTAAAGAGCCTTCACAAGGTTTATGTAATTCTGAGGTACGCCTTTCAATGACAGACACTGCCACAGAACCTCTCGGCCCACAGAGTCAAATGCTGCTTCTAAGTCAAGAAAGACCGCCATTGTCGGACGCAGATAAGTATGCCGGTGTTCTAGGACCTGAAGATTGGTGAATATGTGGTTTATGCATCCACGAACAGGTCTGAAGCCAGCCTAATTTTCACGTGTTTGCAGTTCACGAGTCTTAGTTAGGCGTTCGATAATTATCGAGGTTAGTATTTTAGATACTATATTAGTCAAAGTAATCCCTCTATGGTTGTCATAGGATGATTTTGACCCTGTCTTATATATTGGGACGATAAGTGATTGCGACCAGTTAGATGGGATAACGTTCAACTCCCAGATTTTAGCTAAAATATTAGTCAACCTAATCACTAAAACTAGACCACCATCCTTAAAGACCTCTGGAGCCAATCCATCTGGACCAGCTGCCCTTCCTCGTTTCAGATTAACTATAGCCATTTGAACTTCAGTTAGATTCGGGGGACCTACTTCAATGTCCCATTCACACTCTCTGGGAATGGAGTGTAGTTGTAGAGTAGCTGAAGGCCACCTGAACTGTTCTCTAAAATGTTCCGCCCATCGTCTTAAACGTCTGGACTGAGAGCAGATGAGAGTGTCGTTTTTTCCGAAATAGTCTGACTTACGCTTGACTTATTAATTCCAGTTTCTTTTATTAGTCTGTAGAGTTGTCTTGTGTTCCCTAGCATAGAAATGGGATACCCTCTTGGTCCATTACTAGTAGAATGCTGAGCCATCCTTTCCCAATGATAATTTCTATATCTATCTTGATGAATACTTAAGCCATTAACAACCAAACGATTATTGAGATTTTCTTGTCAAAGTTTTTTTAGTACTTTTGTTCATTTTACCTAACTGTCACTATATCTAACAGAAGTTTACTACGAACATTATTATAATCCTGAAAAATAAGTGTATATATTTGCGATTGTACAGCCTTTAAAATAAATTCGCCAAAAATAGAACTCTTCACTGAATTAATCTCTCTTATTTAAAAAAGACTGTGACTAGGGTTTATCACTCCTCATTAATGGTCAGTCAGTCAGTCAGTAACAACGTGGAACTTTGTACGTACGTACATCAGTTCGAGTTGCCATACCACATTAGCACAGAGATTCAGTTATCGATTCAAATCCCGTAGTGGTAGAGGTAGTGAAAGTATAAGTAGTGATAGGGAACATTAGGGTTCGATGACGTTATTTAAGGAGTACAGTCCAGTGGAATATATTCGGAAAGAAAATAAAGGACATGAAGAATTCAGAAGATTAGAGTTTGAGAGAACACAAAGAGTGGATGCACCTCAATAATGGAGATACAAAAAGTTATTTTATTCCAGTAATCATTGAAATTTAACTTCTCTAAAAAACGAAAGTAGGAAATAATCTCTAGGTAACGGTTAATTATGTCCCGGCAGCAAAATTTATGTGACTATGTTCGATCAGCCAGTTATGAACGACGTAAAACTTCATTCTAATATATTTAAAACTGAACAGATCTGGAAGCAATAAGTTCTGATAACAAGTTTAAATAATTCTGGTTACGCAAGACTGTCCCTAAATTTATTTAATTTTCTTAACAGAATATCTGAAACGGGTTTAGAGATTGACGTGGTTTGTGACTGTCATCTATGTTTGAGATATGGTGATTAAACGCTGTAGAACTAAAAAGATGGTTTTGTGTAAGTTTGGTTCAGCAATGTTAGCAAATAACTTTGTGAACCTTCAAGTTAGGCAAAAACGCAATTCCGGTTATGTATCAAACATACAATCTGCAGGTTGAAAATAGAACTTTTGCATACAGTCCAAAAACTGGCGCGTCAGCGATCAACTAATTACTTCACATACTGTCGATTATAATAGACAAGCATGTGGTTATTGCTGTAGTTTGTTTCTCCTAAACTCACATTATTTAAGTTTATTAGCAACAATTTTGGCACTGAAGCGTAGCAACGACCTTAGAGATTAGCTATATGGATAAATTATGAGGATAGGATGCTCATTACCTACTATTGCACTAACCTTGAAGACATCTCCGTAGGTTCCACTACCGATTGGAGCGAGTATCTTATATTCCTCCTTTGGGTCATTAGGTTTCACAAATTGTCGAAGGTAATCTAGCTTAGGATGGTTCATGTATCGTTATATTCATTTCGTCTCCGGTTCAAATAACGCGGGAAAATTTATTCAGATAGACTAATTTTGTTATTTGTCATGAAATTATTTAATGTTAATTATCAAAATTTTATTTTCTGAACTTTTGTTTTAGTTGTCTACCGTCACTTTTTAGTTTAGCTCTGTTGGTTGGCTGACAGCTTGCTGGATCTGCTTAAGTGAACGAGAAATGGAATCTGCGACTACGAAAAAAGTCTGCTACTATTATGACGGTAAGTGCATTCTGTATTTTGCTCCTTTGGGCAGTCTAAGTCATTCTCTTGCTTAACTGACCGAAATAGTTTTGTTTCCCCACACCTAAAGACCTGGATTGTGAACTCTTAATAAGTTTCCGCTTGTTACCATCCCAGTGATTAGCTACTTTTTTTACGAACGACAAACTTGCTACGCAGTAGTCAGTGTGGCTTACACTAATTTTAAAGCATTTTAGATAATTAAGCTCACTTCAATATATATTTAATGTACATAGTATTAAATATCTAATTGTCAGGGATATACGTTTCTATATAGACTGTTTAAACTGTTTTATCATTCCTAAGTACCAAACAAGTCGAACGTTACCACTAGAACGTTAATCCAAATTCGTCCTTTAGCTTATAGTATTCAAATGGTTGTGGACGGAGTAGAAGCTTTCGCTTAACAGGCTTCTTTGTCTAGTAGCAGGGTATCACCAATAACTCCAGGCAAGAACCTAGGTATATTAACGATAAAAGAGAAAAAAAGAAACTGGCAAATCATAGTAAAATACTATCCTTAGTCCTTAAGAATAGATCAAGTCGCCTCTTAAAGGACTCCTGGGAAGTTGCTTGGACTAGCTCAGCTGGCAGCGAATTCCAGCATTTGACAACTCTTAAGGAGTAGAAGTTGTGCCTGCAGTCCGTTCTACTATGTTGTATCTCTAATTTCTGGGTGTTACCCCTTAGGTTAGTGTTGGGACTAAGCTTAAGTAGGTGTTTAAGAGGATGTCGAGGAGTGTTAAGGATACTGTAAGCCATCAGAAGGTCACCTCGAAGACGCCTATACTCCAATGGGTAAAGGTCGAGTGATTGGAGGCGCTCATCGTAAGGTTTAAATTTGAGTCCCCGAACTGATTTCGTGGCTCGCCGTTGGATACTCTCCAGAGTGTCCTTATCCTTTTGTTGTGTAGGAGGGAATAATATGTTTCCGTACCCTAAATGTGGATGAATGAAACTATTGGAGATTATGTGGAAAGTTCGCCCGTCAAACTGACCAAAAATGCGCTTCAGTGTTATCAGCGCAAGGTTCGCTCGAAAAGCATTTTTATTACAGTTGGCGTAAGACTTAAGGTAGTAGGGCACCAGAACTCCTAAATATTTTTCGACTCGGTATACTACTAGAGAGGAGTTTCCTAAGCTATAACTGTAGTCTGCGACGTGTCGCAGATGGACTACTTCACACTTTGAAGTGTTAAAGGTAAGTCCGTTGTCGTCTGTCCAACTTTGAAGTCGAGTCAGATCCTCATGAAGTGACTGTATATACTTTTGGTTGCGTGTCTCTCTCCAAAGTTTCACGTCATCAGCAAAGAGCAATATGTCTGACGTTACCTGTTGAGGAAGATCATTTATATAAATCAGGAAGAGAAGAGGTCCTAGTACTGATCCCTGGGGGACCCCACTAGGACATTCCATAGCGTGTGAGAAATTGAAGTTTACCCTGACTGTAAAATGTCGATTTGTCAGATATGAACTGAGCCAGTCAATTAAAGGTGGCTTGATACCCAATTGTTTGAGCTTATTGATAAGACATATGTTGTTAACCCTATCAAAAGCTCTAGATAAATCAAGGTAAATGATGTCCACCGCAAGAATTTATAGTGTTGAACTTATTTCTTATTTCTTATTTATTTATTTTAACACATAAGTATAGGTACAGGGAGGCACCAAGTACATATGCGCCACACGAATCTCAATTGATTTGTGTGAGGGCTGTGATACTGCCCGGGTGCCCAAACCGAAGCAGGGAACTTATTTCTAGTGAAATCCAAGAGCCCATTCCCACCCACTCTAAGGTTTCTTTTCCACGTCTAAGTAGATGAATTTAAATCTTATCCTCTGTAATCCTACCTCATCTTAGATAATAAATCCAAGACATTCTCTTCGAGTTCCTAGAAAAACAACTTGGTAGGTACAGCTTCTGGAATCCTTTACCCAGTGTTATTATGTAGTTATTACTGAATTATATTTTAACGTCTTCCGGTATTTTTAGTGCCGTAAGTCTGATCAACTGATGCTCTGTGAGAACCGTATTCAATTGTGATTATTGGTCGAAGTTTCACTTAAGTATGCTATCATACCGGATCGCCCATGCAATACTATCACTTTGGAAGTGATTTTATTTTAACTTAGGATGGCGTATTTGCTGACTGAATTTTACTCAGCTTTTTACCTGTAAGATTTATCAGCGTGCACTTATTGCAGGACGTTATTAAAAATTTGTCAAAATTATCGGGGTTGACCCTCGTAATTCGCTGAGCTTTCTACACTTCTCACATGTTATGTTCATGTTTGATAACAGCTGCTAACAATAGGTGTGCTAGAGTTAATTCAGGACAGCACAATCTAAACATGAAATGAAGTAAGATTTCAAGTATGTTACTGAGGCTTGCTTTTTCTAGAAAAATAGGTTTAAATACATATCGACCAGACAATAATTCATGGACGACCTTTGAGCGACTCCAGACTGACCCTGGGTATATATATATATATATATATATATATTATATTATATACATATATATATATTATATATATATTTTAACACATAAGTATAGGTACAGGGAGGCACCAAATACATATGCGCCACACAAATCTCAATTGATTTGTGTGAGGGCTGTGATACTGCCCGGGTGCCCAAACCGAAGCAGGTGGTTTTCTTAGGGAGCCACACCCCGAGTCTTTGACCTGAACGTCTGACCCACAAGGCAGTGGAGCATCGTGAGGAGATGCAGTCCCATGGTAGCCGGTGACCAACGATTGGTTCATACGCCATTTGTTCCTTCAGGATACTGGAGCCCATGTGCACCATTGGTTTGGGGTCCGGTTAAAGCGCCAGACATTCGCTTTTCGTCCTCTCATTTTTGTAAACAACACCCGTGGTGCAAGAAGGCAGTGAGTAGGACTTCCCTGGCAGAGGCTATATACGCATGGCCATGTGAGAGCATTTCGAGAGGGAGAGCGGACTCTCCTCACTCTCGGCCGTACCAGGGCATTTGGGGGAGTGTCCACCCAATAACCGGGACCAAATAAGGGTTATAAACCTGTGAGAAAATAGAACTGTGATTTACGGTTGATGATTAGAGATAGAAATTCGATTTAGGGTTTTCATCGCAAACTGACATCCGCTGTAATGCAAAAACTATATTTATCCGAATGAATGGGTGGATTCCGCGCCAAAATCTGAGACTTGTCATTTTATATGTGATTGGTTCGACCATAAATTATAGTCTCGCCTACATATCCTTTGCGTTCGATCATTCAGTTGCGTCAGCTACTGACACAAAAAGAAAACTTCCGTCCATAGTCATTAAATCTGTTTATGCTAGATGTCGGTAGTAACGTAGGAAAGATGGTTTTTGGGCTAAATTAAAGGTAATTTTCGAACTCATTTCTTACTGTAATCATTATTTTGTTATTGTTAAAAGTCGATTGATTACATTCATTCATATACAAAAATTTGCGCCTTGTAGACTTTAAAAAGCTCGGATTTTTCGCAGTTCAGAATTTAGTTTTGCTTTCGAAAGCTATCTTGTTTTAATGAACTTTCTGACAGACATATATTTGATTAATATTTTCCGAAAAAATTCACTTCTAGGTGATATTGGAAATTATTATTATGGTCAAGGACATCCCATGAAACCGCATCGCATAAGGATGACCCACAATCTTCTTCTTAATTATGGTTTATATAGAAAAATGGAAGTTTATAGACCATCTAAAGCATACAGCGAAGATATGACAAGATTCCATAGTGACGAATATGTCAAATTCTTGAAGAATGTAAGACCAGACAATATGCATGAATTTAATAAACAAATGCAACGTTTCAATGTTGGTGAAGATTGTCCAGTCTTTGATGGACTTTTCGAATTTTGCCAGTTATCAGCTGGTGGTTCTATTGCTGCAGCCGTCAAATTGAATAAACAGCAAACTGACATCGCCATTAACTGGGGTGGCGGTCTCCATCATGCAAAGAAATCTGAGGCGTCAGGATTCTGCTATATCAATGATATTGTAATAGGGATTTTAGAACTTCTGAAATATCACCAACGAGTTCTTTATGTGGATATTGATATTCATCATGGTGATGGTGTTGAAGTAAGTAAAATTTTAATTGTTTAATCAATCAGGAAGCTTTCTATACTACTGATAGAGTAATGACCGTTAGTTTCCACAAGTACGGCGAGTATTTTCCTGGAACTGGTGATCTAAAAGATATTGGTGCTGGTCGTGGTAAATATTACGCTGTTAATTGTCCACTGAGAGATGGGATGGACGATGACTGCTACGAGCGTATTTTTAAGCCTGTCGTAACGAAAGTATGTTTCACTACTTTTTTATACACTGTCTAGGTTATGGAAACTTTTCGACCCGGGGCTGTTGTCTTACAGTGTGGTGCTGACTCATTATGTGGTGATCGACTTGGGTGTTTCAATCTTAGTCTAAAAGGCCACGGAAAATGCGTCGAATTCATCCGCTCATTTCCTTTACCTCTTCTTCTTGTAGGAGGTTTGTATCTTATTGCTTCTGTAATCTCTTATTTATTCACGTTTCTGTGTACATAGTGCTGTTTTTTCTAGTGTTCATAATTTTACTACGAATTACATATCAAGTTAAATTCCATGGTTGCAGCCGTAATAATTTGTTCACCATACATATTTACTGACTATCACTGAACGAAAACTAAAATAACAATATATTTCAATATCCCCAAGATGCATGTCACGTTTTTTACTTCTGTCATGAACATATATTGATGTAATTTTATATTTCAGTCACTATATTTTATGGTCATGTTATTTCCTTGTCACAGGTGGTGGTTATACAATCCGAAACGTTGCTAGATGCTGGACTAATGAAACATCCATTGCCCTTGCAACTGAGATCCCCAATGATTTACCATACAATGATTATTATGAGTATTTCGGCCCTGACTTCAAGCTGCATATCAGTCCGAGTAATATGGCTAATCAGAATACTAATGAATATCTTGAGCATATAAAAACGAAACTATTTGAAAATCTGCGTATGATACCTCACTGTCCTAGTGTTCAAATGCAAGGTATGTCTTATGCTTAACTGTTAGTAAATATTTACTAAATACGGTTGTCATTAGATGTACTTTTCTGTCCTTCAAGTTGTACCGAAATACTTATTAAATCCCCACTAATTTAAAATCGGATTAGTTGGCTTTTAACATCTTTTCCCATATCAGAGGTTCAAAGTGGTAGCAGTAGTAGTAGTAGTAGTAGTAGTATTAAAACAGTTACCTTGTTATGACCCTGTTTACCTACCTAATAAAATCTGACTGATCAGATCCAACTCATTGCCTTCCTTTACTGTTTACAGTAGTGAGATTAATTGCTATGGATATGATTTTCAACTGTTAATGTAAAGAAATCCCCCTATCCATCACTTTAAAATTGCGAATAGATACAACTCATTTGGTCTTTCTATATATATGTATACTCATTGCCTTCTCGTGGCGGGGGTGTTGTTTACGAAAATGAGAGGACGAAAAGCGAATGTTCGGCGCTATAACCGGATCCCAAATCAATGGTGCACATGGGCTCCAGTATCCTGCGGGAACAAATGGCGTATGAACCAATTGTTGGTCACCGGCTACCATGGGACTGCATCTCCTCACGATGCTCCACTGCCTTGTGGACTAGACCTCTAGATCAAAGGCTCGGGGTGTGGCTCCCTAAGAAAACCACCTGCTTCGGTTTGGGCACCCGGGCAGTATCCCAGCCTACGCACTAAAACTTGATGAACTATTTACTTATGGAAAATATTCTTTTCGCTCCGATTTACACTGAAATGACTCGCACCACTATTATTATTATTATTATTATTGTTATTATTATTATTATTATTATTATTATTATTATTATTTACCACGTCATCTATTCACTCACTTTAATTTCCACTCTGTCTATCCTTATTTTTCGACTTATACAACAGCTCGCCTATGGTGAAAATTCGGCTCTATCTAAACGTTCTCGAGTCACCGCCTGGTTGGAAATTGTATGTTACCACCGAATACGAGTACTGAAGCAGTTTTTCTGAAATCACGTGCACCATTCAAACTGGCTGCCTTCAACGTTCGCACACTTATGCAGGTCGGATAACTGATAGGGCTGGGTATGTCTTTGGAAAGTCGTAATATTGACGTGTGTTGTCTATCCGAGACCCGTATTCAAGACTCTGGTGAAGTACTATAAGTTCGCTCTCCATCTGTCCCTTCAAAAAGCTTGTTTTATGTGCGTTTATCCGGGGACCCTGTGGCATCTTCGTCTGGTCTTGCTGGCGTTGGTGTCGCACTAAGCACTAGAGCTGAGACAGCACTAATCGACTGGATCCCCATTAACAGTCGGTTATGTGCTGTTAGATTAGAAAGTTCCATCAAATTGAGAAGAAATCGGCGTGAGAAACGATATCTTTTCGTCATCTCCGCCTATGCCCCGACAAATTGCAGCCCGGATGCAATCAAGGATGAGTTCTACCATCAGTTAACTGTTCTTCTCCAGAAAGTGCGTTCGACAGATATTGTAGTACTAGCCGGAGACTTGAATGCTCAGGTCGGGCGTCTAGGCACAGAAGAGAGTCGTTTAGGTGGCCGATGGGGACTTGTTGGTCGCAGGACAGATAACGAGGAACGTCTACTGCAACTACGCACAGACCACAACCTGTTTCTGGTTAGCACTAACTTTCGGCACAGTCATCGCCGATGTGCCACCTGGCGTCCCCCTTCTGCATCTCAAACCTGGACTCAGATTGATCACATAGTGATCAGCTACCGCTGGCGTGGTTGTGTACAAGACTGCCGCTCCTTTTGGAGTACCTATCTGGAATCTGACCATGCTCTGGTCTGCGCCAATCTTACCTTACTTTTCAGTGGACAACGAAGTGACCGCCACCAAAGGATTGATGTTAGCAAGCTGGCTGCAACTTCTGTTGCTAGTAAGTACCGAACCGAGCTAGCTTCTAGGCTAGCTACCCTTCCACCGAAAAGTATAGATGAGCATTGGTTGCAATTGCATGACGCCATGAAAATGGCGGGTCAAGTCAGTTGTGGGTTTGCGAAACGTCCCGCTTACAAGCACTGGGTTTCTTCTGGTTCCTTACAACTGATTGAAGCCCGTCGGTCTACTCCGGGTGACCGTGAGTTTGACCACAGACGAAGGATGTTACGTAGTGAAATCGGGCAAAGATTGCGTAAGGACCGAGAAGCCTGGTGGTCGGAGCGTGCTAATGAGTTGGAAGCAGCAGCTGCATCTGGTAATTACCGGAAGCTCTTCCAACTCATCCGAGCCACTGGCAGCAAGAAGTCTGGTGTGAGAGAAACAATCTGCGAAGATGACGGAACGCCAGTCACTAACATCCATCGACGTCTTGGACGATGGGCAGAATTCTTCGAAGGGCAGTTCAACTGGCCTGCTGCTCCGGCAACATCGGTCAGACCGTCCTGCTCTCCATGGCCGGTGACGACTGATCCACCAAATGAGGCGGAAGTCCGCAAGGAACTCCAACTCTTGAAACGTTACAAATCACCGTGTCCAGACGACTTACCTCCGGCTCTTTTTAAAGATGGTGGTGACTTTCTGACTAAGGGACTGACGACGTTGTTTACAAAGGTCTGGGAACTAGAGAGTGTACCAACGTCATGGAATGAGTCGATAGTTGTCCTTATCTTTAAAAAGGGTTCACGTCGTTCCTGTGACAACTATCGGGGGATAAGTCTACTTCCGATCGCGTCCAAGCTATTGGCTTCCGTTATACTTCGTAGGTTGTTCAAAACCCGAGAAGGATTGACTCGCGAGGAGCAGGCTGGGTTTCGTTCCGGTCGAGGATGTAATGATCATATCTTCACCCTCCGCCAAATGTTAGAACACCGTCATACTTATCAAAGGCCAACAATCGTAGTGTTTCTTGACATCAGGGCTGCCTTCGATTCGTTGGACAGAACTGTTCTCTGGGATTGTCTATTGAAGAAGGGTGTGTCTGAGAAGTTTATTAACATCCTAAAGGCCCTATATATAAACACCTCAGGCAGAGTGAGGGCATACAACCACCTTTCTCCACTATTCCATTCGAGCAGTGGAGCTAGGCAAGGTTGCCCAATCTCACCATTCCTCTTCAACTTTGCCATCGATGACATTCTGAAAACAGCTCTGATGGAAATAAGTAATGGTGGTGTGGATCTATTGCCTGGAGAAAGACTTCTCGACCTTCAATATGCTGATGATATTGTCTTACTGTGCGAGAATGCCCAAACCATGCAATCCGCACTTAATCAGTTGGCAATCAGTGTCCGTAGGTATGGTATGTGCTTTGCACCCTCGAAGTGCAAAGTACTTCTACAAGACTGGCAGGATTCTAATCCTGTACTCACTCTGGATGGTGAGCAGATAGAAGTAATCGAAAAGTTCGTGTATCTGGGTAGCTGTATAAGTGCTGGTGGTGGCATGAGTGATGAGATCAATGCACGTATAGTGAAATCCAGAGCGGCTTATGCCAATCTGGGCCATCTTTGGAGCCTTCGTGATGTTAGTCTGGCTGTAAAAGGTCGGGTCTACAACGCGTTGGTGAGAACAGTTCTGCTCTACGCTTGTGAAACCTGGCCTCTCCGAGTTGAGGATGTTAGACGACTCTGTGTTCGATCATCGCTGTCTCCGATGGATTGCTGACATTCAGTGGCAACACCATGTTAGTAATGCAGAGGCTCGGCATCGTGTGTTCGGGCACAGAGACGATAATGCAATTAATGTCACCTTCTTGAAACACTGACTTCGGTGGCATGGACATGTTCTACGAATGTCGTCCCAGAGAATCCCACGTCGTGCATTATTTGCCTACACTGGAACTGGTTGGAAAAAGCGGAGAGGTGGTCAGTGTATGACATGGTGTCGTGGTATAAAAGAAAGCTGCAAAGGGCTGGCTTGTGTTGGTCCTTCACGACTCCCTGGCTGGTGTCCGAGTGATGGTGCGACACAGTGACTAGAGACGTTATCAGATATGGCTCAGAATAGAAGCCAGTGGCGATCCTGCTGTAACCTTCTTTTACTTTCTTCATAAAATGTGGCTGTATCCTCCTTAAATGTAAGATTTCTTCTGATTGAACCTTTTCGTTTCCCCCATTATTGTTCTTTCTCTCTTTTTTTCCTTCTCTTCAAATTCTCATTGTTTGTGTGGCGCATATATATTTGGTGCCCCTTGTACCAATATTTATGTGTTCAAATAAATAAATAAATATATATGTATATATACTGTGTTGTCAAATACTATTTTTTTCAGTAATGGAGGCATTATTTTTATCGCATCCTATGTATGATACATGAGAGCGAAAATTTTTCTCTACAATTGATCGATAAAACATGGTGAAACCTTAAAACAATTTTTCTGTCAGTCACGTACAACGTAGGACCAGGTACATATTGCATCCGTCCAAGTTGCCATACCTCAGCACAACATGATAAACACCGAATTCATAAAAGCAGCTACTTCTATTGTAGACAACAAGCCATGTCATCCAGAGCCTCCAACCATTGGTTACAATAGTTGCGAGTACCCAACCCAGTAGTCTGCATCTCCCAACATAGACCAAATGTTAGTGACTTTATGGACTGATGCCACCTTTTGGCTTGACCGCTCTCAACTTTCATACGTCTCCAACATTAGCATTGCACGCCATAGTAATCGGTTGTTTGGCATGGCTCCGGGTGTGTCCCCTAAGAAAACCACCTGCTTCGGTCTGGGCACCCGGATAGCATCTCAGTCCGCACACAAATCAAGTGACTTTTGTTGCGCATATGTATTCGGTGCTCCTTTGTACCAATATTTGTGTTCAAATAAAATAAATAATGACCTACTTGGTGATCTCAGCAGATTCTGGCAATACTTCTGAGGCATCTGATCACATACTAGTAACTTACGAGTATCTAATTTTCTTGTGTTTGCAATCCACGAGGATTTTTTGGGCGTCCGATAATTATTGAGGCTAGTTTTTTAGATGCCATGTTAGTTAAACTATTCCATTTATGGTTTTCACAGGATGAGTTTGACCCCTTTTTATATACGGGGATGATCAGTGATTGCGACCAGTCAGATGGGACTACGTCCAACTCCTAAATTTCAGCTAAAATGTTTGTCAGCTTAATCGCTAAAACTAGACCATTATTCGTAATAACCTTTAAAGTTAATCCATCTGAACCAGCTGTTCTTCCTCGTTTCAGATCAGCTATGGCTTTTTGAACTTCGATTAGAGTCGGGGAACCTATTTTTACGTTCTATTCAGGTTGCTTGGAAATAGTGGGTCGCTGTACAGTAGCTGAACTGTTCCTTAAGGTGTCCCACCTATCTTTCTAAACATGTGGACTGAGAGCTGATAAGAGTGCCGTCTTTTTCCGAAATTTTCTCACATTTAACTACTTAATTCCAGTTTCTTTTATTAGTCTGAAGAGCTGTCTTATGTTGCCTACAGCTGCTGCCTTTTCCATCTCTTTTGCTTTCGATGCCCACCACTGCTCACGATCGGTCCTTAGACTTTTGGTTAACCTAGATCTGAATTGTTTTCGCACGTCATCGTGTTCGGAACCTTATGGGATTTTTGCTAAACCATATTTTTAAAACTTCATGAAATATTCAGTTCCTCTAAAATACGTTCATTCATAAGATTAAGTCATTTTTATACCAGTATTTTGGGAGCAGAAATATGCTCAGTGTCAATGTTTAATGTTTGTCTACATTTTCAAATCATATTCAGCACTCAGTTATCTAGATTTATTATGTAACTTGACCGTTAGATATTCCGGATGACATTGTCGATTTTGATGAAAATGATGCTGTTGCAAAAGATTTAGCCGATCCAGACAAGAGGATTTCAATAATGGCTGCAGATAAAGCCATCATGCCTAATAATGAGTTTTTCGACGATCCAGAAGAAGGTTCTGGGCTTGGAGGCACCACACTTCGATCAGGCAAATCAGCTTCACGAGATGTTCAAAATCACCGAGACCAACCAAAACGCGCACGCACGGATGAAGATGCCAGTTCATCCACCACGAAACCAAACAGTAAAGAAGGAAGTGGGTCTAAAAAGACAGATTCTACTAGTGACAAGGTAAAATCAATTTGTCATCACTGATTTCTATGATTACTTATGATATTAAGATCAGTTATGCCCTCCATCGCAGGCCACTTTTTAGTTAACTGTGATCGTACTATTGAAATGTGTCATGTAATTCCTTTTTTAGATATGTAGTTTGTTAGTATGTGCTGAATATCGCTCTTAGCAGTGTTTAGAACTAAACAATAAATACTAATGAATGTACTGATCCCCACATGTTTCATACTTCTGTACCTTTCAAGATGTTTGGGGAGCGTAGTGAAGATCGATATTCCTGTACCCATTTTGAAATGTATTTGTTCATGAGCGTTTCATACTGTTCTCAATGTGTTATCTCTAGCACAAAATTAGAAGACCTTCCTGAGATCGCATATGGATACTTTCATCTCGTTAACCACATTTCCAATTCAACCAAATTACTAATAATAGAGCTATATTGTATCTGTCAGCAACTGTTATCTATTTAATGACTTCATCTGTTCATGTTGGAGAGTTTGTAGTAGTAATAATCTGAAATTTTATTCATCCTTCTTAATCTGTGCATATTTCCCATAACTGGTCATTCTTGCGTTTCTTCTGTCTTATTGTATCCTACAAAATAAATCAATAATATTTCATAAACTGGTCATCCGATTTGCATTGTTTGCTTGGTCATTTTACAACATTGCAAATTTTTTTGTGGTCATCATGCTCAAACGATTCATTTAAATTATGCATTCTCTTGGAATTCACATCAATGAGAGTTTTTTTAATTCTTATACACAATTGATTAATGCGTGAACTAATAGAATGGCATTTAACACTTCTGTTCGGTTTTTAGGTTAATATGACCTTATTCTCGCTTTTAGGTAACCGTCTATCCATTTCCATTGCTAAGCAAATATCTACAACACTATCCAGCTGAACTACTCATTAATTCTTTATGACAATTACTTCCGCAAACCGTAGTATATTCGACGTCCTTTGTTCACTAATTGTCCTGAACGTCTAATTTACTACTGTTTGGTGAAGCAGTTGCCATTAAAAGACAAACCAAATTTGTGTATCTAAAATTATTCGGTTGCCAATCTTGGTCGGCGTCGGTGAACTCAATCATAAATGTTTATTATGCAGTTTTTCCCATGACACTAATTATTAATCCTAACTTATTATCTGATCTGTACTCAGTCAATTTTATTTTAAGGGTTACATAACTATAGCATTAATCTCATTTCTAAACAATTATGTTTTTATGTTTTCAGTCGTTCATACTAGAATATTTTTATATTCACATTATTTAACATATGAACACTCATAGTTTTTCCATAGTTATTGCTTTTTTCGGTAATCCTTATTGCTGGGAACATTTCTGATACTATGATATAAAGCGTGGACACTGATTTTTAATGATTAGTACTGTTATGTTTAGGTTGTAAGCAGCTGACTAGAAACCGTAAAATATGGTGGATTCATGTTATTCTGTTACACTGATTTTTCTTGCTTTAGTCAAATTTATAAATGCGAGAAATTGTATGAAACTAACTTTTTACATAATTGAAAATTCTCATCAGTAAGTCTTTAGGAGATAGTAATTTGTTTCAACAAGCTCGTATCTCTGATTTGCCCAGAAACCACATAGTACTTAGTCATATTACAAATAATAGTGATTCTCGTCAATGGCTATTAATAAAATTAATCTTTCCGATAAAATCGAACATTTGTATTCATACACGATTATTAGTCATTTAAATCATAGAATACGAATTTAGAGGTTAAATCTATCATTAGAATTGAGATTTGATCATCTGGCTTAATTCTCGCTCGTTTTAGCTTTATCAATCATTTAATAATTTCTCGTTTTAGCGTTCGGAGTCCAAAAGCGACTTTGTAGAAAAAATGGAAGTTGATTTATCTAAAAAAGCCAACGGTCTAATAGAACCGGAGCGAGCTGCTAATTAACTGGGTTTTTGTCACATTGTTTATTCTTAATAATTTTTGTAAATGTCTTTGTCCCTGTCTTCTTTTATACAAATAATCCCCCGTGATTCATATGAATGTCATGTTTATGATATCCTGTGTTCATTGTTTGTTTAACATCTAACTACATGTATTCTTTCTTCTTATTTTCCGAAATTGCCTGTCATATTGTACGCATTTATTCGACTTAAATACTACTAAATTGTACAGTTCCTGCAAAAGTATACCATTTGCTATCCTAATGTTCAGTGAATTCAATTTTGCTTATATGTTTTATGATGAAAGTAGGTAATAAAAATTTACAGTATTCAAATGACCACTTTTCTGTCATTCGAAAATATATCGACCAGGTGGCAGCGGGTGAAAAATCAGTTTCTGAACAAGTTATTCATTTTGTACAGTTTTGTTTAGAAAATGAGTACGTAAATAAACAGCAACATTCCACTGAGTCACTTCAAAGTAGTGCTCTTTCAGTTAGCGAAAGTTAAGCTATATTAAGCTACTGGAATAAGAAAGGTTAGTTTGATGTATACGAAAACTTACAGTTCTATGCATTAATAATAGTTTTAGTCTCAGAAGAATATACATACCTCTTATGCAAATACCAGTTATAACAGCTACATGTTATCAGTTTCCGAAATGAAAGGAGCACGATAATACTGTTTTGTGATACTAGTCGTAGACTTTGAAATGACTTGTACGCTACGATCTGCAAAGTTTCCGTTGTTTATAAAGCTGTATTTCGTAGTATTTCTCACTTTCGCGTTGAAAAATCTAAAGTGAGTTTATAGGACACTCATTATGCAAACATTTAATGAGAATAATGTCAGACATTAATATGGGAGAATAACGATTACTTACTGACTACTTTGAAAATATGAAGAATATTTGTAGAACTTAGTCCATTGCGGTAACGAAGTTCCGGTTTTGCTACTTGACTTTACACACGAAGTTTTGTTAGAACAAGTGGTTGTGTTCAAACATTAATGCTTCCAGATTTTCAGTGGTGGCTTAGCTTAGAATTCAACTGATAAAATTACTATAATCTCCACAAACCCCAATTTTGATAATAAGTAGAATATGGTGCAACAGAAGGGATAAGCATGTAATATAAGGGAAGTATCCAATTTTCGTCTCTTTGGTTGTAGCCTTTCTAATACTTCGCCATCGGAAATCTTTGTCACTTAATATTAGAAATAATTTGATTGATATGTTTACAGCGAATCTCTAATACATAAGCCTCACTACGAGTCTTTGCAATTCTGATAGATAAGTATGGTTGTGATGTGTATGCTTTTATGTAAGACTCAAATTGTTTTCCTAGTCATGCAGGGACTAAAGGTAAATGAAATACAGTATTTAAAGTTCTCAACGATGTTTTAGCATCTGATATGCGTTTATGTGGAATTTGTATTAATTGATTATTCCTATGCAACTGATTGTCCGATAATTACAAATTCTGAATATAATACGTTTGTTAGTGCTCATCTAGCTTAAATTACACTTGTAGGGACAGTGAAATGTCGCTGAGCTCTATTCAAATCATCCGACAGTTGAGTCACTTGGTATCGAAAGGATCATCAATCCCTGTCAAGCACATTCAACGCGAATCGGTTAATCGTACGCCATGTGTAGCAGTTCCGATGGTTGTGATGTATATGCTTTTGTGTAGGACTTTGTTAGTTCATAACAAATGACTAAAAATTATCAGTTAAATGTCAACTGAAAGTTGTCCAATTCGTTTTTTTGCATTTCCGCTCACGCCTAGGATATTATAGATCGAGCAAACTTTGCCACTATTCCTCACGTGAGTTATAAGCCAATCCCATGCTTACGAATCTGTTATCAGAATTTCGGATGAGACCTCACAATTATCTTCGTTAACCTCCACTGACGCTACTTATTAAGTAGACTACTGGATAGTGTCATAAATAGTAAGTACATGACAAGGGTATTTTCGATTCATAGCTAAGTAACATATTAATTTAAGAGCGGAAAATGACATCAGAACATTTACTGAGTAGAAATGAGAGCTTACAATTAAAAAAAGTGAAAGTTACGCACAAGAGCTGTTTGATAAATTTTTGTCAAGAATGTAGTAGCTACTTCGGCGTTTGATACTGACTGCATTAGTTTAAATGGACTCGCCTAGCTGAAGTCACGCGTCCGCACCAGATCACGAGTGAGAACGCCGTGCTTCATATCTACGATCACTAGCCAGTTTAGACTAGTCACTTCTCGATATATGGATATTCTATCATATATACATTCGAACCTCTTCGTTTCTGATTTACTGGGTTGGCACATTTCGATTATAAAAGGTGTTACTGGTTTCGGTTTTGATGGAGTTTTGTTCTCTGAGCTGGATGGTTTGGTCGTGGAGCTTTCATCGTTCTTCTGAACGACATCATCAGCACAAACTTCAGATAGAAGTAAAGTGTTCGAATTTCTCCATATGCGTTTCACATCTTGTTCTGTACACCTCGATGTTGACTGGTTCTTATTGACCTTAAATTTGTCATTGTTTACTTCCATCAAAATCATCCACCTGAGTTACAAATCTTATCCATCATTTGAATACTGGTTAAGGTGTTGTCAGACTCAGAATGTTTGTGGCATCTTTGTCTTACATAATTCCGACACGTGAATTATTTGCGTCCTCATATTCTTCTCTTACCCCTTGAATATTTCGTAACCTCATTTGATAATAAGAGTATCAAATCATTCTATGATGCAATATTTTCTATCCTCCTACAGACACGTATTTACCATACAATTATAAATACGAATGTAAAGCTTAAGCAAATGAATTCATCGAAAATGAGAATCCCCATCCTTGAATTCTCTTTATTTTTATTCAATGATACTTTAATTGGGTTTATTTCAGCTAAAGAAATTTTGTATTGTGTGTATTGACTTTGCTTTTGTAAAGTTCTGTGGTGTTTGAATGAACTAATGATTCCTTTGTACTTGTTGAATGCCTGATTTCGAATTTCAAATACAGTACATTCGTTCGTGCTTGTGTAGTACTTCTTGATTCAATTGCGTTATTTCTGGGATTATTAGTTCATACTATAATTCAAATTCTTCTAATTATCATATTTTCGCCTCGATGGGGCCTGCAATGGAACAGTTAGATATTCATTCGGATTTTGATGCTTATGAGGATTACTTCGAAAGGTTCGAAATATGGGCTATGACCAAGGAAGATGATGAGGATGTTAATGTTGTGGCACATTTTCTCGATTTCATCGGAAAAGAAGCATATAGCTTATTAAAAGTTTTGGCTTTACCGGAAAAGCCCATTTCTCTACCTTAAGGTAGAGAGAGTTGTATAATTATACAACTCTCAAGGAACTACTTCTAGACTATGCTAAATATACAAATTTCGAATGCGGTAAAGGAAGATTTCATAAAATTATTCATGATGATAAAAAAATTCCACTACATTACGTCACCTCAATCCAGTGCATACTCAAGGTTATGCAGATAATTCATTGAGGGGTTGCAATGTAGTTCACGAAGATGGGCACAAGTTTGGTCAATGTTTGTCCTGTGGCAAGTCCCACTCTTTTAATTCATGTAAATTTCATAATTCTAAGTGCTTTAAATGTGGTGATATTGAACATATTCACTCAGTTTGTAATTCTGATCCTAATAAGTTGAGCATATATAATGATCATTTATCTTTATCAACGATTTCAAAAAGACAGTTTAGAGTCGTATAGCAGTTCAGAGTTAAATGAAACAATTCCTAATCAATCAACCTATCAGATTTCCTATGTTATTGTACCAGATATGATTTTCCGTAATGATTCACATATTTCTGATGGAATTTCTTACAAATCTGGTGAAAATATTTCGGATGAACCTAATTGTGATCGAAAAACTGATGTAGTTTTGATAGATGCTTATTTTTCTAATGATCCTTTATTCTGCAATGACATTCTTAATAAATTTGAGGAAACTATTTCAGAAGAATCAAATCTTGATGTCGTATCAAACATTATTTGTCCTCATGATGCATTTGTTTCTTGTGAGAAACTTGTTCGATGCGAAGCACGAGTATTAAATGAGTTAGAGTTTGATTACAATTCAGATAATTCCATATCAACTGTTGTTTGTCCTTGTCACAAATTCACTTTTAATGTTTACTCTAGTCAAATTGAGAAAGATGTTTTAACTGAAGCCACACTACTCATAACTTGGGGATATGAAGATCCGACATTATTTCGTGGTGGGGGGGATAGTCTATGGTTCATATCCTAGGTAGTAGTTTCAGTATTCAACCGGCATGGTGATTGTTCACAATCCCAGAAATCAAATAATACAGAGTCTTTATCCAATACACTGTTGGACAGACACAGGATGAACTTAAGAAGAAGACGTGCAATCAATTACAGACAGTTAGACTCCAATTTAAGCTGTGGCGGATGTGGTGTTTGAATGAACTAATGATTCCTTTGTACTTGTTGAATGCCTGATTTCGAATTTCAAATACAGTACATTCGTTCGTGCTTGTGTAGTACTTCTTGATTCAATTGCGTTATTTCTGGGATTATTAGTTCATACTATAATTCAAATTCTTCTAATTATCATATTTTCGCCGCGATGGGGCCTGCAATGGAACAGTTAGATATTCATTCGGATTTTGATGCTTATGAGGATTACTTCGAAAGGTTCGAAATATGGGCTATGACCAAGGAAGATGATGAGGATGTTAATGTTGTGGCACATTTTCTCGATTTCATCGGAAAAGAAGCATATAGCTTATTAAAAGTTTTGGCTTTACCGGAAAAGCCCATTTCTCTACCTTAAGGTAGAGAGAGTTGTATAATTATACAACTCTCAAGGAACTACTTCTAGACTATGCTAAATATACAAATTTCGAATGCGGTAAAGGAAGATTTCATAAAATTATTCATGATGATAAAAAAATTCCACTACATTACGTCACCTCAATCCAGTGCATACTCAAGGTTATGCAGATAATTCATTGAGGGGTTGCAATGTAGTTCACGAAGATGGGCACAAGTTTGGTCAATGTTTGTCCTGTGGCAAGTCCCACTCTTTTAATTCATGTAAATTTCATAATTCTAAGTGCTTTAAATGTGGTGATATTGAACATATTCACTCAGTTTGTAATTCTGATCCTAATAAGTTGAGCATATATAATGATCATTTATCTTTATCAACGATTTCAAAAGACAGTTTAGAGTCGTATAGCAGTTCAGAGTTAAATGAAACAATTCCTAATCAATCAACCTATCAGATTTCCTATGTTATTGTACCAGATATGATTTTCCGTAA